GGCCAATTACACTGAAGATAACAACGTCAACGATTATAATAACAATAATAATAACGTTAATAACAATAATAACACTACTAATCCCAACAACAACAACAACAACAACAACAACAACAACAAATCCATATTTCACTTTCCATGGATGTCTAAAGAAGAGGACCTCGTACAACAAAATCAACAAACATCGCCATCATCATCATCGTTGTCCTCGTCATCATCGTTATCTCCATCATCATCATCTAACCTCAAAAGAAAACTGGAAAAATTTGACAATGACGAAACGAATGACGTCACTAGCTACTCGCCATCTCGAAAACAGCATCCCTTATATCCGATTCCTCCACTCTATTCGCCATGTTGTATTCCCCAGTTACCGTTTTACCCGCAGCTTAATCCGGACATCCGGATCATCATGGCCGCTGCCAGAAATCCAGTTCCGCCGTATTTTTTCAACCAACGGGAGGCGAGCAATTATTATCACCTGAAAACCGGATATTACGGTTACTACTTACCGACGAATAATAGTAAATGCGATTCGACCTGCCATCCCTGTTTTTTGAATAATGACGTCACGATGATACCGTCGCCATCTTGCACGTATGCCAGTAACTCAAACGCCTATAATGGCGGTTGTATTTCAACCAGGTAACTCAGAGAAAGAATATTTTTCACTGGCTCTTCACTTATTTTACTTGATACATCGTGTTTCGCTCGCGGTTTTTCAATCATTTTCGTCGGTCATTATGTATTTCAGTGTTCAAATACGTTGCATATGTATATAAACACTCACTCACACACACACACACACACACACACATACACACACACACACGCAAAAACAAACACATCTTGAAAAATGTATAAATACATATATACGAGGACATATGTTGTACATTTGTATATATACACAAACACACACACACACACACACACACACACACACGTATATAAATAGTATACACATACACACACATTTATATATATATATATATATAGTCTTTATATCTATATATATATATATATATATATATATAGTCTTTATATCTATATATACAATATACTTGCATATAAGTTCGATTTTTAAGACAATAAAGTTAAAATTATAACTTATATTACAACTTTTTGTTTGTTCAAGTTTGCCAATTTGCGTTAAAGAAAGAAGAGAGAATGAAACCAACATGTCGTTATTTAAGATTCGCTATTCAAGTTAACTTCTAGGGTCAGGGATGGGCTAATAATGATGATGATGATGATGATAATATTAAAAGAAGGAATTGTTTACCTGTCAATTTTAGCAGTCAAAGATGTAGGAAGGTTGAAGAAGAAAGAGGTAGTCGAATAGGGAATGACGTCACTCTCCATTAATGTTTCGAAAAATATGTAAAATACAAAGTAGATAAAATATAGATAGATAGATAGATAGATGGATAGATAGATAGATGGATAGATAAGATGGATAGATAGATAGATGGATAGATAGATGGATGGATAGATAGATGGATAAGATAGATAGAGAGAGAAAGACAAGTAGAGAGAAAAAGGATAAATGTTGTGAAAGAAAAAACAAAGGCACTAAGTTACATATATACACACGCAAACACACACATACATACACACACACACATACATACATATATATATATAAACATTTAAAATGACAACTATATCAATAAAAACTGATCTGTGTATATATATAAAACTGTTGTTGTACACATAATGTTGCTAAAACATTTAGTATATATATATATATATATGTCCATTAATCGGTTGAAAAATTTGAAAAAGATCAAGTATATATCAAAGGTAACGAAATTAATACTAACTTAAAATTTAAAAAAGTGTTAAAAAACAGTTAAAATCAAAATCAATCAATCAATTTATAAACTAATCAACCAACTAACCAATCATTGATTCATCAACTATTAATTTAGTCAATTAAAGAACAATTCGGTCGACTAGCTGATCATTCGTCAACCAACCAACCAACCAACCAATCCATCAATCAATCAATGAACAAACTAATCATCAATCAACTAACCGTGCGACTGTCTATTCAATCAATCAAACCGCCCACACACTTTTTTAGGGTAAAAACCAAAAATATCACTGGCTAGCTACTAGTACTCATACAATCTCCACAATTCAAGGCGTTGCCTCATTAAAATTCGTGACGTCATTCGATCCCTCGAATCCTGCGAGCCAATTGGATGTCTCTCGGAAGGATGGTGACTCTTTTGGCGTGGATGGCGCATAAATTAGAATCTTCGAACAGCCTGATGAGGTACGCCTCGCTGATCTTATGAATATTAATTAGGAGAGAGAGAGAGAGAGAGATAAATAATTTGTACATTATACTATTACTATGAATAATAATTAATAAATTATTATAAATATATCATGATTTGAGAGGGAGAGAGAGAGAGAGAGAAAGAGAGAGAGAAAGAGTGAGAGAAAGAGTGAGAGAAAGAGAGAGTGAAGGAAGGTAAATTTAGTGAAAGAAGAAATAAAGTTAAGTGATCATAGCTAAAAAAACTTCACTAAAAATAATTATGAAGCCTAATTATAATAAAAAGCACTGACCTCTTGGAGACACTCGATTGCCAGCGACTGCCACCTCAACCCTCCCTGGGGAAATAGGTCATCACACACTTCTTTGACCTAGAAAAATTATAATTTTTCGAATAATTATCCATAATATAATTAATAAATTTTATAAATGGTTGTAATATATATATAGTATAATTATATCTTAATCATGCTATGCTACAAATTTTAAAGTCATCCTAAATATAAGGAAAAAAATTATTACAAAATTTTAAAATGAACTTATAACACAACAAAACGATAACAATAATGATAATTAAGATAATGACCACTCTTGCAAACGGAAGTTTCCGTAGAAGTAGATTTGTAGTCTTTTGATACTTCCTAATTTCCTTCAGCGCTCTAGTGCCCGGCCGATATCTTCGAGCTTTTCAGTAATGGGAAAATACA